GCAGAAGGAAGGTGAAGCAATCTACTTCCATAAAGATTTACTGCCTTGGAAACTGAATGGGGGTTACTATGAGTTGGAATCGACTCAATGGCAGTGGTTTTAATGACTTACTATAGAGTATCTATTAGTTGGAATCAACTTGATGACAGCAGTTTTTCTGGTTTGTTTTAATGGTCATTAACAGTAGGAGCTAAAGGTTAATATGCACCAAACTCATACTGGGCACATCTAATAGTGAAATGTGTTGTTCATCTGCAATAAAATAACGTGTACATTTTATACTTTAACTGAATGCTTACAGGTATTCTTGCAAAAGTCTATTAGCCATCAATATTTCACTCTTTGTACATTACAAGTTAGGGCTTAAATTGTGGACTTAATGTACAGTGTTTCTTTAAAAGAATACACGGTATTCATTAAAGGAGCTCTATAATGTTTCTTCCAGTGAGATAAGAGAAGTAAAATACAGTTTTTGAGAAATAACAAATAGTCAGGAAGTCTGCTAATCTGTAAAAACTCAAAGGCAGCTTGAATCTGGGTAAACAAGAACATTAAAATACTAAAAATCACACACTTGGGTAAAGATTTAACATTATGAAGAGACAGAATATGAACAACCATCTTTGTATCCCTAACTGCACATGCTTAACCTGTAATCATATGAAATCATATGTATAAGATGATTCTGAATTAATCTTCACCCTATAAAAGAAACTTGGAAAGTACTGGGAGGCAGACAAAATCTGAGGGAATTCCCTTCTCTGTTTCAGCTAGTGCAGTAACTTAAAAGCCACATCTTTTGCTCTTCACCTTGGTGTGTCTTTATTGGCTTCTATCACTCCAGGCAATGGACTCAGTGACTGGCTAGTAATACATTCTATGTTTTGCCACTGATGACAGGTTTAAATTTACCTAATTCCATCAGTATTTAAACATAACGTCAGATATTCATTCCTCTGACTTTCTGACTACTCTCATCTTGTCAGACATCAACAGTTTTCTGTCAGGTAACACCTGGGAAAACAAACCATTTTCATATAAATTGTAGATATTCCATTATTGAGTAGGTCTCGATACACTGCTATTCCAGTTGTCTCTTTTTTTTTTTTTTTTTTAAATTTTGAACTTGTGTTTATATCTAGCCTTGAGAGACAAAAGTCTGCAATGGAGATTACTAAGAGTCCCCAATACCAAGTTTATTTCCCAAGATTTTGCCCTTTTTCAAACAAAACAAAACAAAACAAAAAACACCTAGTGTGGAATTAAAAATGTAAATACGAAATTAGAAATGTAATATTTAATATAGTTTTGCAATAAAAGGCCACTATTAAGGCCAGCAAAAGGGCGGGCCCCAGTTCCAGGAACAGGGGCAAGGCAAGGATGACTAAGCCCTGAACTCAACCATACCACGTAATTGGAGAATTCAAACTTAAACTTACCAATCGTTTGTACTCCCTCTGAGAATTCAAACTTAAACTTACCAATCGTTTGTACTCCCTCTGAGAATTCAAACTTAAACTTACCAATCTCTCTCTGACCACCCCCTTGTGGTTTTGCCTTTAAATACTGTGTAACTTTGTTGCTGGCTGCTCAACTCCTCTGCCCCTGGTGGGATATGAGTCCGGCCCCAGTGCACTGGTACCTCGAATAAACTCCTCCTGCTTTTGCATCAAGAGACGTCTTTCGTGAGTGATTTTGGGTGGCGTTATCCCTTGGGTTGGGGGAGCCCTGGTGAAGGGGAACCCAACACTAGGAATCACACATGGTACTGTATTAGTCACAGTTTCTAACAAAGCACTGCTATGCTTTTTTCACTTTGGCTTCTCACCTCAGGCAGCAACTGCACATGACAAAATTAGTAATAAGGAACTTGGCTATTTTTGTTTTTTGATAGACTCTTCCATATCATAAATATATATTTCTTTATATTGTACTGTTTTCATGCAAAATAATTTTTGTTTTCCACAAATTTATGAGATCATAAAAATGTCTAATGCATATGGTTTAAGAATCCAATTCTTCCTTCACATTTTTCTGCATCTGTTCACAGAATCCCCTTGACTTCAAAGAAAACTTTTCAAGAGGAAAAGAAGATACACACAGGAAAAGTGGCCATAAATTTTTAGTAGTCCTTTTCTAGGCCATTTTAATAATACTGCTGTTGGACAAGTATCTCTCTCAGAAAACTAAAATATGACAAATGATATTAAAATTACATGTTCATATGGAGATTTATACTTAAAAATTTTTTTTGAGTATAAAAGTAAAATAATCTCAACACAGAACATGTGAAAAGTACAAAAAGTCTAAAAGTGCCAATTTAATTTTACTTCACTATTTAGAGAGCTCAAAGCAAAATAAAACAATGGGTTATTTACTTCTAGTCTTTTTGTCAGTATATATTTATATACAAATAAGATATTATAATTACAATACAACTATAATTTTGTATATTTTCTCTCAATTCTTTCAAAGGACCGAATTACTCTTTCAAAGATTTTTAATGGCCCAAAACGTATGTAGATTTATGTTTAAAAGAATGCTTTCACTTATGGTATATTACCTCATTTGATTAGTTTTTGATACTCAAAAGTAAATTAAAGGCTTGAAAACTTTAATTTGTCCTGGAAATTCTATATCTTAAAACAATCTGATTAAGTTGACTAACTTTAAGAATAACTATTTATTCATAATGGCACTGAACCAATACCAGAGTTTAAGGATTTTTTTTTTTCTTTAACATTTATAATTATTTAGTGCCCTAAACTTCTCTGGGCAATTATTAATGGATTCTAGTTTGTGTCTACCTTTAATTCTTTATTCTCATGAAATCCTCATCTTTTAAGTTTGGAAGGGGAAGTCTGGGTCTAAGGCTTAGTTATTTTGAAAACAGAGGTTTTATTATGCTATGGCTAGGAGCTCTGGTAGCGTAATGCCTAAGGCACTTGACTCCTAACCATAAGGCTGGTGGTTCAAACCCACCAGCCACTCCTTGGAAAGAAGGTTGGGCAACCTACTTCCGTAGTGATACTGCCTCAGAAACCCAAGGAGGGGTCACTGTGAGTCAGGTCTGACTCCATGGCATATAACAACAACAACTGTTAGCTACCCTAATGAATCAGCAATATTTTGGTGATTTTGCAGAATCAAACCTTCAAACATCAAGGAGAGAAGTATTCGATGGGTTTGCCTAATTTTGAATTAAATCTTACACTGCTTCCTGAAATATAAAAATAACATTTAAATATCTGTTTTGTTGACAAAGAACTTTCCAGTATATTAACTCCTTTATCCTTACAAGAATTTGTCAAGTCCGTATAGATGAAGAACACTGAAGTTCAGAAAGTTAAGTAATATACACACAAAGTAATATACAGGATAAGAAAAAATAAGCTGAACTTAAATCTATATATCTATATCTATATCTATATCTATATACACACACACATATATATACATATAAAGTCTTACTGGTTTTATTTTAGTTTCATAATCATGAAGCCATATAGACTTTTCAAAGTGGTGGTGGTGGTGGTGTTATGTGCCGCCGAGCCGTACCCAACTCACAGTGACCCCCTCCTTGGGTTTCCAAGGCGGTATCTCTATGGAAGTAGATTGCCCAGGTTCCTTCCAAAGAGTGGCTGGTGGGTTTGAAACATCAACCTTCTGGTTAGCAGTCAAGTACCTTAGGCATTACACTACCAGAGCTCCTAAGTGTTATGGTACATAAACTCATCGATCAGTCTAACCCCTCCCCGTCTCATTTGCTAAAGAAAATCAACCCAGAGAGATTAAGGGACTTCTCACATCACACATGTAGCAAATGGCAGACAAAAGATCTCTGGTTTCCCAACTTCCAGTCTAGTGTGCTTTGCAGTACACCAGTTATGATACAGAATTCTCACACCTATGTATTGACAGTGGATATATACAAGGATGCCAGGAAAACATCTAGTAATCACAGGCAATTTCTCTCTTGTTCCCAGAGATGCCTCCCCAGATAATGTACGTCAAAGTACCTATCACTGAGATTGTACTTTGAAGACATTAAGTAAATATCTGAATTAGTGAAAGGGAAAATTAAAAAAATATATATAAACACACATATAATTTCTGTGTCATTCAGACATATATACAGATATCTTTTCTCTCTTGTGTCATGATGGTAAAACTCATATTGATGCGCTAAGGCAGCAAGAGTGCTGGCACACCCAGAATGTTGTTGTTGTTGTTATGTGCCATCGAGTCAGCCCTGACTCATAGCGACCCCTCCTTGGGTTTCCGAGGCAGTATCACTACGGAAGTAGGATTGCCCAACCTTACTTCCGAGGAGTGGCTGATGGGTTTGAACCGCCAACCATCTGGTGAGCAGTCAAGTGCCTTAGCCCCTATGCTACCAGAGCTCCCAATAGGACAGTGCAATTTGGCAGCCCACTGTCTCAACTACCGAATCCTTAACAAGATGGCTTGTCTAATTTCTTGGATGGTTCCTGGGCTTGCTGCTAGGAAAGGAAGAAAAAAATAGTAATGGAGCCACGAGGAGGGCAGTACCCACCAGCCACTCCGTATAAGCAAGACTGGACAATCTGCTTCCGTACAGATTTACCGCCTCGGAAACCCAATGTGGGTCGCTAAGAGTCGGAATCCCCTCGATGGCAGTGGGTTTGTATCGGAATTACCCTGTCTTGGAGTTGGGATAACTTTACAAGTCTCTGGTTTCCCGCGTTGCCGGGCAACCAGAGCGGTGCAGCCAAACCACATCCAGAGGCGATGGCTACGTGGCAGGTTGCGGCGCGCTCCTCCCACCAGGAGAACGGTACGTCACCACGCACCCATGCAACGTCTCCACGCTCTGGGTAACTGCAGTCTTAGGTGAGTTGGAAACGACTCAGTACTCTCCAGGAAAGGTGAGAAGAGAGAAGTACTTGGAGAGGGGGAATAAGAATGAGAAGGATTTCACAGGATGGGAAGCCAGCAGAAGAAGGGCTGCCTTCGGTTACCTTAGGACCAGAAGCAGATGCGGTTGCTTTATGAAGTGCCCGGATGAAGCTCCAGCACCTACGCGCCTTCCGCATTAAGTGCAACGCCATCTTGAGATGGGCGGAGCTGACTTGTTATGTATGACGTAAGCTTCCTTAGCTTGCTGCGCATGCCCATGTCATCAGGGCGGGGACGTGTCCTGTGCATCTGCCCAGGGGAGTGTGGTCTTTGTAGAGCAGGTGGAGCCAAGAAAAGGGTGGGGTTTGTCTCTATTTTCCCAGAAACCTAGTCTTTTCGCAGGCGACCGGTGGGAAGAATCTCCTTCCGGTATGTTAGCGCCTTAGACTGAGAAGGAAATCTAGAAAGGCAACTAGGTTGAAAATTACCAGAGTAGAATAGAGGGAGAAAACATTGTAAAATAAAACAATAAAGTCTCATATATATATATATAAAAAAAAAAAAAAACCTCACTGCCATGGAGTTGATTCCAACTCATAGCGACCCCCTTTGGGAGGCGGTAAATCTTTACGGAAGTAGATTGCCCAGTTTCCTTCCGTGGAGTTGCTGGTTGGTTTGAGCTGCCAACTTTATAGTTTGCAGTAAAATGTATTAGACACTATGCCATCAGAGCTCCTTAAAATCTTACAAGAGTGGTACAAAGTGCTGGTGAATTTCATATATAATTGGTGTAGTTTAGATATTAGCAGGGAAGGAATTGTAGGGCAGCGAGGAGGGTCTACCATTAAGAAATCAATCTTGTTCTTCAGAAAAACTGGTCAGTTCCATTTTGTCTCTGAAATTTGAAGTGCTTGTAGTACATCCAAATGTGATGCCCATTAGATGTTGTTGTTATATGAAATCGAGTCGACCCCGACTCATAGCGACCCTTCCTTGGGTTTCCGTGGCAGTATCACTACGAAAGTAGGATTGCCCAACCTTGCTTCCGAGGAGTGGCTGTTGGGTTTGAACCGCCAAGCCTTCTGGTTAGCAGTCAAGTGCCTTAGGCACTATGCTACCAGAGCTCCTGTCTAAACTACAAAACAGATGGTAACTGAAACCAAGAAAATACTTAAAAGTACCAAGAGAGTTTGTGAAATGAAAGTGGTCCTAGGATGGAAATAAAAGGAGAACTCAAAGGAGAACTCAAGGAAGGTGTTATTACTGAAGCCAAGTAATGATTGATGTTTATAAAGATATATGGTATTCTTTGTAAACACGCAGGTTTATAAATGCCTTAAATGTTTAGTGTTCATATGTACAGCAAAGCATTACAATACAGTTTTCTGCAGATAATAGTACTAATTAGATTATATGGCCTTAGGAATTACAAATATTCTGCTGTACACAGAGTTTTTATTGGATGATTTTTGGAAGTAGATTGTCAGACCTTTCTTCCTAGTCTGTCTTAGTCTGGAAGCTCTGCCACAGCAACTAACAACAAGGAATTAGACTTCTGACATCCTTAGCTGTGGTAGTTAAGTTTGTGTGTCAACTTGGCTGGGCCTGGGTGAGTAGTTGGGCTGCTGGATGTAGTATTCCCCATAATGAGTCTGGTAATCAACTCCATGGGGGAATCTACTGTGAACAGCTGCGTAGTAGCTTTAGGGCTGTGGTCTGTTTCCTGTATATTAAGGAGAAGCCTTGGGGAATGGTCTTTAGTTTATGGCACGCTTAAACCTTGCGTGTAGCCATGTAGTTTTTCAGCAGCCTCCCATGCTCTGCTGACCTTGGGACTTTCAGTGGACTTGAATTAATGGCCTGTCGTGTGGTTTGGTAACTTCAAGACTGTGCTGTTTTACTTGTCAGCCTTGGGTTTGTCAGCCTCAGCAGCCAGCAGCTGAAAGAAAAAAAGCCTACAGCTTCAGTGGGCCAGGAGCAGGAGGCAGAGCTGAAGGCCAAGGTTGAGGGGCTTTCACCCAGCCCCTATAGCCCGGCACTTTGAACTCGGACTTAAAACCTCCAAACTGTAAGAGAATAAACTCCTGTTTCTTCAAGCCATCCCATTTGTGATTTCTGTTAGAGCAGTGCTAGGTAACCAGAACATTAGCCATGAAGATTCCAAGGTAAAATGTAGCACCAAGACTGCAGTGCAGCAGAAAGCTATCAAAGAGCTTGCCTGCTTTATTTCTTCAAGCAATTCTTAGTCTTTTATCTGGTAAGACTCATGACTGACAATATTCTCATGGGAGAAATTTCCCAGATATTCCCACTGAAGAAGGAATATTAGAACACAAATTTAATCATTTAGTCATATCTATAAATTATTTGCAAACCTTAATGCTTTATTAAGGAACCCTGGTGGTGCATTAGTTAAAGTGGCTGCTAACTTTAACTAAAGTTAAGTTGGCAGTTCAAATCCACCAGCTGTTGTACAAGAGAAAGTTGTGGCAGTATGCTTCTGTAAAGATTACAGCCTTGGAAACCCTATGGAGGCAGTTGTATTTGTTCCTGTAGGTGATTATAAGTTGGAATTGACTCGATGGTACCGAGTCTAAAGCTTTATTGTTGTTGTTGTTGTTGTTATGTGCCGTTGAGTCAGACCCGACTCATAGCGACCCCTCCTTGGGTTTCCGAGGCAGTATCACTACGGAAGTAGATTGCCCCATCTTCCTTCCGAGGA